AATTTCGCTGAGATTTTAGCGAGTCCTAGGAATGCGCCATGCCACTTACTATAACAAGGAATCATAGATAGTTATCTAAGTATGCAGGCGATCTGTAAAATAACTACGGGGTGCCATTCAATGATTGTGACCGGCCAGACTGAGTTCGTTAGAGCGAAGGACCTCCGGCATAATTCATCGTACCGAATGAATAGCTCAGTTTGGAAGAGATATAATTTTTCTATTAGCAACTTGAATTGCTCAGGTGACCGTAATCGGATCATGGGACGGTGAACGAGTTCAGCAACAGGTGCGAAAACAGGAAACAACAATGGTGAGGCTTAGTTTTTTCTTGAAATCGTTTTGGGATTTAATCGCTATTTATTCAGGCCTCAATCAACCCACTGAGTATGGTGTTTCATTTCAATCATGGCTTGATCAATATCGATTTGGTGGGTTCTCTTTAAACACAAAAGAATGAAGAACACAAAAGAAAACAAAAGAATGTATAATTTTCATTCTCCTCACGAACTTAAGCACTTTTTGAAGTTGATGACATCGCTGCATCTCGAAAATAATTGTAAGGTCACTCGGGGACGTTCTGGGCTTTTAGACTTCTGTTAGCTTTTATTATTTCATCGTAGTACGCGATCAGAAAGGCTCACTAGATTCAGAAGTTATAGGCAAAACTTCGGGCTCGGACGGGGGTCGAACCCGTATTTGTGCTATCCGGGCAACGTGCTCTTTATCCCTTACACTACTGAGTTCTAGGCTTATTACACAAATGATAAATTTAGTGATTCTTCGAAATCACTAAGCCTCCTGCTATGTCCCTGTGAGCAAGCAGTACAACGTAAATATAAAAATCTCGGACCTTTGAGAGATAGGAAATGATTCTGGTTAGTTAGAAAAGTCCAAATGAAGGCATGAAAAATGTAAAAATGAAAAACAATTGATTTTCCTTTCTTATTTTTCCTTTCTTTCATTTGAATACAAAATTTGGTTTGGTGCTCCCAGTCAGTTTATTATAGCTCAACAAATTTCAGCTGGAATGTTTCATCACGACCACAGCCAAGCCAAATATTCTGCATCTGTCATACGCCAGCCATATCTACGAATTTGAATTCGTCGGGGATGCAAGTCGATTTGCCTCCCAGGTTTGTCGCATTTTTACTGACTTCAATATACTGGTAAGAATTAATTGAGAAGTTTAGAATTACTCACCAATGTATTACTGGGACTCGTTGGAAAATCACAAAAACCTTTTCTAAATCACAAACTTTACCATGCTTATCTCAACATTCTTTGGAGCGTTCATACTTTACTGCAATACAAATCCCATTTCAAAAGTCAATTGTGAAAAGCATTCGCTTTTATGAACTACTTTATTTACTTCATCTATTTGTGACGCTGAGTAAGGCAGGCATCAAGAGCACTACGTTGTCACCACAAAAATCTACAAATCTTTACCATGACCAGAAACTTTTTTTTACTTCAAGAACTTGTTGAATCAATCCGGCTACATCTTTCCTTATTAGATCAATTCGCCACACTCAATTCGCTGTTTCCCGACTGAAGTGAAAGAATCCATGGTTCTAGAAAGGGCGGGGCGGTTTGCTCCAACTTTTTTCCGAATTTTCCAATTTCTCGGATACTGTTTTCGTTTCAGCAGTAAGCAGTGTCGTAAAGAAGAAAATCACTGTGTGCTCTGCATCGTTTTCCTCGTAAAGGCAATGTGTAGAATGGGGAACTCGTTAATTTTTCATGACCAGACGCATTCTGCGCTGCGATTCGATTTGCTGCTGCATAGTGGACAAACTGCTGTCGCCTCATGGCTAGGGATGGGCGATAAATTTAGGATGTTTTCTGACATGTGGAAGAATTTAGGTACTGAACATGTCCTCGTTGCTGCTAGCTCGAACCACCTGTAACGATGTGGCAGTGTCGTTTCTTAATCGGCAACATCAGAAAGTTATGGAGAAACTGTCGCAGGTTGGTTTGTTGCATGGAATATTGCCAGGATCCGTTTCCACATCGCAGCGTTCGTATAAAATTTAATAATTGAGCAAAAAATGTAAAACCCGAGGTATTTGAGCCTCATGATCGCCGTCAAGGCAGTGTTCAGACCTCGCGATCGCAATTGCCGCAACGCTTGACTCTGCGTCGCGTCAATCGCTCGTTAGCTGCGTGGCGGCGATCGCGATCACAAAGTATGAACACCTGTTGAAGAGTCTGATTCCTTTTCAGTTTGGTAGTTTTGGCAGAAAATCGCCTTTGAAGTTGATTCTGGGATGTGTGCCCTGACATAGCCGCTGCCTCAACTCCCCTGGTCTTGCTTGTTTCACGTTTGTACACCCCTCTGACATTGAACTTTACCGAAATTACCCCGGTGGCCCGAAGAACGTAACTTTTCTATGTGATTCGGGTACCACACCCATGTCCCCAGCTCCGATTCAGTGGCCTAGTTTGCGAGGGAACTTTTTCAAAGGGCTATGCGCAACTTTTGGGAAACGTCAGCACTTCAAAAGTCGTCCTCTTTTCCTGAACCGCCGCCTCAAATTGCTATTCACGGTTGTTTTTTGGTATGCAATTCCGATATAGGCTAGTAATTTGTGGTGAATTGCGCATGGACGAGCATACATTTCGCATCGCCGCCGCCGTCAGTCGACCGAGTAGTTAGTAGTTGATCCATAACAACTTCAGTCAATGAGGTAAAAGCTCATTTGAGTGTTGGTCTCCTGATTCGGCCGGAAACAAATCCACTGATGTTACGGAAGTACAATAATTACTTAAAGGAGATAACTGTTATTCAGGTGAATTCTGAGGGAGACGTCGATCCGGTGGCTAGGGAAAAAGCTCTTCTCAAGGACTTTGCCATACAGTACCGTCTTGCAGCTCTCAACAACAAGCCCTTGCCCACCTTTCAGGTGGGTTCAAATTGACTTTTGACTTTTAAACGGGGTTTTTACGACGTAGTAATGTTTTTTTTTTGGAGCAGTGGGCCTTGTCTAATGAAAAAGGTTGTAGTAGGACATGGCTTGAGTTCCCGAGTCATTGAAAGAGTCTTCATCAGTCTTTTTCAGCTTCATTTTCCCTACCATCTTGTCTTTATGGAGTTCCAAGTGACTACAAACTCCAATTCTCACCTTTTTAAACTTCTTTTTTCCTTAACAACGCTCGTTCCATCTATT